TCTTCACATTTTCTTCTGCTTTGTAGCCCAAATGTGATGTCCCAGTGAGGTAATTCATGTAGTTCTACAGTAGCAGAGCAAAGAAAGCTATACATCAAGACAAGAAAGTGGACGCCCGGCAGGCCAGTTCTACCCAATGGGGAGGTCTGCGCTGCAGGACAGCTGCTGCCTGGTGACTTCTGAGCCTTTACATCAGCAGAAGCCAGAGGTCTGTTTGTACCTTCTGAAAGTTTGCTTAATAGTCAAAAGGACGTTAGGTCGCACAGAGGTGAGCAATCAACGGCTATTTGAGGGGCTAGAACTCAAGACCATTTGCATCCCACCCTGTAACATTACAGTTCTGCACGGTCACAGGTCTAACCATTCAGTCGGCCTTGGGGACAGTCGAACAGGTGTAGCTTTTTCTTGGGCACTTCAGTTCACAGACACCATTGGCCTCTGTGACTAAGTCAGATGTGGGATGGGGAGGAGAAGTTTCTGGCTCTGTCAGCAGGGGGTCCTCCCTCAGTCCTCAAGTTCCCCTCCTGAGTGCACTTTCTCGGGAGAATTGCTCATTCTCGGGGACTTCTGGGAGGCTAGATCCAGTGGAGTCTAGAATGGAATGCCCACTCATCTGCGAACTGGCAAACAGCTTCCCACAAAGTGGAAGAAAGCTTGATTCAGAGCTTGCAAGGAACAACAGGGTCCATTTAACAAATCCAACATTTAATGAACTCAAAACAGTGTGCTGTAAAAAAAAAAAAAAAGCTAATAAAGCAGTATTTAAACACCAATGCATGCTTATTAACCTTGGCTCAAAAATCCAGCCCCTTGCTCCTGGAACCTTGCCTCTGATTTCATTTCAAAATGTTGATTGGCATTTGCAAAGGGCATCCTTTTTGTGCCCGGGCTAGCTCTCCCAAATCACTCAGGACCTTCAAACAGGAAAGGTACCCTTTGTTGCCTAGCAATTCATAAAACAAAGATGCAGGAAAGATGAACTCGTCTTTTGGACGAGTCTTCCATAAAACTATCTTTGATGGGCTCTTTCAAAATCCTAGGATTGATAAAACCTTCCAACGCATTTTCCCTGTTTGAAGAATCTGCAATGGTCTGAGCCAGAAGTCTGCTTTTGGACTCCATCTGAGGGGTGCCTCTCTCACTCCAAGGGCATATGGGGTGGAGGAGAGTTGAAAAGCAGAGAGAGGATTGAGTGGGGCATAAGAGTGGAAGGCAATTACTGCAGAAAATAGATGCCTCCTGCCTTTTATCAAGAACAGTATCAAATACTGTTTGGCCCAAGCACATTTGGTCCCCTTCTGTCTCTTATGCAAATTAAACATCTAGAGACCAGCCTGCCACAAAAGTGGAATCACTGCCCCACCCCACTCACTCCTCTCACACTTGAAAGCAGTATCATGTACCTGATTGTTAGCTGATTCTCCGCTCCAAGAAATCATAGGAGAGATCTCTTTCTCTGTCCCCAAATTTTATCCTGATGAGACCTTTCTACAAATCAAAAGTACCTGCTCTTTTGTTAGGGTGGGCTTCCAAAGAGAAGGCTGTTACCATAGAAACACTCAGGGTTCATCTGGGAGCACTGGGAAATGCTGTCCCAGCCTGAGGACACCAGCCTTGCCTGCTCATACTTTACAGCAAGGAGTCTTTACTGCTGAGTCCATGCCAGACGCCATGCTAAGCAATTTATGTGGATTGTTTCTTTACACACTTGGACCAGCTACAGAAGATGAGAAGCCTCACTTTACAGATTTGAAACCAAAGGCTTCAAGAGGTCAAGTTACTTGCCCAAGATGACACCCCTGGAACTCTGACAGAGTCATGACGTTTAATTCCAGGACCGACACTTGTGGTGGCCTATGACACACGTGGCACTGGTAAAACTAATGTCTTCCCCATACTGGGACCCATTCCTAGCAGACCTTACATTTCCCAAATAGAACTTAACACAGGCACAAAGGCTCTCTGGGTGCCTTGTCCTCGATGAGTAAGGGTCTACACATGTAACGAACATTAGCATTACTCACTTAATGTTCTGACCAACACTGTATTACAGACATTAATATTCCCTTCCAAAAGAGGAAGAAACTTAAGCTCACAGAACCTAACACCTGCCTAATAACAAACATACAGCCAATAAATGGTCAAAGTGGTCTCTGGGCTCCAGGCAGGTGTCTTACAACTCAGCCTTATCCCATCACACCGTGCAGAATTTTTTCAGCCTCCATCCCACCTTTCCACCAGAGACAGGAAAGAGGCAGCTCCACTGCCACCCTCTCTGTGAGTGATCTCTCTGCTTAGCTCTCTCCAGAGACGGGAGCTACTGCTGACCTGGCTGGGTCAGAGCTGGGTGTAAAGAAGCATGCATTTGAAGTAACAGCAGCCTGTTGCAATGGGAACATGCATCCCAGCAAAAGCAGAAGGATGCCATTGAACTGTCAGCGATGGATACTTACTTCTCCAAACCAGAGCCCATTCCATGTAGCCAAGCTGCCTTGGGCTTCTGTGCCTTGGCTTTCCTGCTCCTTCCTCATCAAGCGCTGGGAAACTCTTTCCTTCTTCCCTTCCTACACTCCAATCGCACACTCACCTTGCCCTGTGCACTGCTCTCCCCGCTAGTTCCTAGACAAGGAAGGAAGAAACAACTTCTAAGCTACCCGTGTCTTCCAGGGCCAAGTGCAGAGGCTGGCAACTTACCAGATGGGCACCTCTGGTGTTTAATAAAAAAGGAGATAAGAAGAAACATGGAGAAACAGTGCTAAGCCCTGGGGAAAAGAAACTCAAAATCCACACGGATGAGATTCAGCAGCTTCGTTTTGCTCAGGAATGGGCATTGGCACATACAAGCTGTTGCTGCTGTTTCCAGGCTGCTCTGAGCTCCATCCCAGTATGAAAACAGTCTAACTCACCCCTTCCCCCCACCCGCTTCAGTCCATTTGGCTCATGTCTGTAAACTACATTGCTTGTGTGTTATCAATACAGACACGCCTTCTGTTGCATGAACCTGAAGTCAGGTTCAACGTTCAGCTGTTTTAAGAGAAAGCAGCACGACTCACAGGACACGTGCACGTGATCAGAAACTGGGGTTTTCCTTTTCACATAAACTTGTGTGTCTGCCGTCTTACCATTTGGCAAGGGCCTTCATCTCGTCGCTCTGCTCTGCCCTGGGGTATGACCAGGGTGATGGCCTCCGTTTTGCAGAGAAGGAAGCTGAGTCCCAGGAATTTTTAATGGCTTCCCATGGAGCTCTTTCCTTAATCCTTGACGCTATTGTAAGAGAACTCTATTATAGTACTTCTGTCCACAGTTAGGGACACCCGGATGTCACTGAGTACATGAAATTACACGTACACCCACGGATATGTCTGGAACACCCACCAGAGTAGCATCCCCAGCATTGACTAGAGCAAGGTCTGGTTGGGTGATTAAAGACTGATTCATAGGGGAGTCTTTCAAAATTCTTTTTTTTTTTTTTTAATTTATTTTAATTTATTTTGCAATACAATTCAGTTCTACATATCGGTCACGGATTCCCTTGTTCTCCCCCCTCCCGTCCCCCTCACCTTCCCCCCAACGCCCCCCCCCCATTCCCATCTCCTCCAGGGCAAAGCCTTCCCCACAGACTGAGGTCAACCTGGTAGACTCAGTCCAGGTAGGTCTAGTCCCCTCCTCCCAGGCCAAGCCAAACAATCCTGCATAGGCCCCAGGTTTCAAACAGCCAACTCATGCAATGAGCACAAGATCTGGGTTTATATGAGCGAGAATTGTTGAGACCAAGGTTGGATAAAGCACAGGGACAAATAGCCAAATGAATGGAAACACATGAACTATGAACCAATGGCTGAGGGGTCCACACTGGATCAGGCCCTCCGAATGGGTGAGACAGTTGATTGGCTTGATCTGTTTGGGAGGCATCCAGGCAGTGGGACCAGATCTTGTGCTCAAAATTCTTTTTTCCAAGGAGACTAGTAAAGCTTGAAAGCCTAAAGGCTTTGCCATTTAAAGTTATATTTCAGGATGAAGTTATAGACATCAAGAAACACTGGAGGGAAAAAAATTTTTTTTGAGGTTGAAGAAGTAAAAAGTTTTAATGAAAAATTTCCTATATTGCCACATTTTCAGAATTTCCCTCAACATAAACTTGATTTTTTTTCTAAGCTTTGAACATTACTTAAAGGCTTTCACAAGTTTCTCACGTTCATAACGATTCTTTAGTGTGGAAAATTTTTTTAAGATCTTTTTTAACATTAACATGACCTATGTTTTTGTTTGGCTTCCAGATGTAATTATGACGAACTGGAATCCTTTTAGATTCAAAATTTCATTCTCCTATATAAAAATAAGACAGCAAGAAATAGAATGAGAAAAAATACAGAACAGAATTACTACCTGGAACAGTACAGAAAATGTTTGTCTCCGTCAGAGAGTTGTTTGTTTGTTTGTTTGTTATTTTGATGTTTTGCACAAGAAAGAAAACTCCAGCTTCCCTCTCCAATCCTGATTGTAGCAGTAACAGGGGTGAGGTGGGATTTCCAACTCTCCAAAGGAGAAATTAGATTCAGGTGGTAACTGAGCTGCCATCGGATCATTGTACCGAGTTCCCTTTTATTCGCCCTGCAGTGGATAATGTGCGCTCATTGTGACTTATCTCTAGTTGGTTTCTTTTACAGCTTCTGGATATATAAGGGGGAAGTAGGACAGGGGCTGGAGGTCTGGGGAGCATCCGGGAGGCAGCATCCACGCTCCAGAGGGAATGAAAAAGGCAGGAACATGAGCAAGTGCCTGTGGCATTAACCTCTCCAGCGGTACGAGCCAGGGACAGCACCACCCATCGCCCTGGGAAACTCCCCCACAAGACTGGATGATAACGCACTCTTACCCTTGACTTTAACTTTCTGTTCATATTTCCGATACAGAACAATCGAGACCCGGGGCCTGGAGGGAAGGTGAGCATTCGGCCAGTTCGGTTTGGTCACCTGGTAGAGACCGGCTTTTGAGAAGCAATGCTGGCGAGGACCTTCCTCCTGTTGGCGCTCTTTGCAGAAGCCTCGGCAAAATCATGCATTCCAAATAAAGCAGGTACCCCAGGGCCACACTGCTTTCCCAGAAGGCACCCCTAGTCTCCACCTTGCTGTGATCCGAGCTCCAGGCAGCTTGGTTGGGAAGGAGTAAACCGTCACCAGGTGGAGGCACAGAAGCCCCCAGTGCCAATCAGACATTCCCCCACAGGGGCAAAAAGTGTCCTGAATGAACCTTTTTTTTTTTTTTTTTTTTTTTTTTTTTTACAAATTAGAAGATATTTCCTTCCTCTTTGGACTTGACTTTCATTTTCCTAATTTGTTGGGGCATGGGGATAGCAGAAATGGGTCCCCTTTTTTATGTGTTTGACTATGCAATGCATGCTGTGAGTCTCTAAACAATATTTTGCAACACTGAGCATAAAATGATGCAGTGGACATTTTAAATTATAAGAAATCTAATTTTCATGGGAAGACAGATATCAGTCTGTGATTTCCCAGGTATATTCTTTCAGATCAAGCAAAAGTTTTAGGGCTGGGGCTATAGCTGGTGGTAGAGCTCTTGCCTGGTAAGCCTGAGGCTCTGGGTTTAGTAACCAGTATTGCTGAACAACAACAACAAAACATTGGCTCTAAAATAAAGTGACAGTTTTTTTAAAAGTGGATCCAATTAAATAAATACTAAATAGTGATGCTATTACATGTGACATAAGTTGTAGAAGAATTGCAATGGCTGAAGTTTGGGACAGCTCACCACAACTTAGCAAAAACATGATTTTAATTGCCTCTGCGTGACATTTGATGACCATGACTGACTCAGACCGTGTGTGTACTCTTCCAGATGTCATCCTTGTGTTTTGCTACCCCAAAACCATCATCACTAAAATCCCTGAGTGTCCCTATGGCTGGGAAGTCCATCAGCTGGCACTCGGGGGGATGTGTTACAATGGGGTCCATGAAGGTGGCTACTACCAGTTTGTCATCCCAGACCTATCACCTAAGAACAGGTCCTACTGCGGAACCCAGTCCGAGGTAAGGCCAGCCCACTTACGCAGGGATGCTGAAGCGGAAGTGATGAGACACAGAGGGATGTTTGCTGCCATCCTTAAGAGGATTCATAACACCCTAAATTCCTTTTTAAAGTCAGCCCTGTCGCTCAAATTCCCTAGGAGGCTGTAGTGACTAAAGTCTTCTCTTTCACCTAATTTGGATGACTCTTTGTGTGTGCCCACGTACAGATGTGCAGACACCGCTGATATTGCATTAACATTGTGTCCTCTTAAAGCTGGGCAGTGATGGTGCATGCCTTTAATTCCAGCCCTCGGGATGCAGAGGCAGGTGGATCTCTGTGAGTTCAAGGCCAGCCTGGGCTACAGAGGGCTACAGAGTGAGTTCCAGGAAAGGCTCCAAAGCTGCACAAAGAAACCCTGTCTCAAAAAAAAAATGTGTCCTCTTCTGTCACACTCCACTTTATCTCTTAAGATAGGTCTCTTACTGAACCCAGAACTTGCTGATTCAGTGAGACGGGCTGGCCAGCAAGCCCCTAAGATCTGCCTGCTCCAGCTCCCAGTGCTGGAATTGCAGGCATGTGCCCCCCCACCATGCCCAGCATTTTATAATTGTGTTAGAGATATAAACTCAGGTCCTTGTGTCTGTGCAGCAATCATTTACCCACCAAGCCACCTCCACAGCCCAGGTGACTCTTAGGACTTGACTTTCATTTTCCTAATTTGTTGGGGCATGGGGATAGCAGCAAAGCTTCCTTCTGTGAGTAGAACAAAGCACACTTCTCACTTTGGTACTTTCATCCCCACATTGGATACCCAAATCAATGGGCCATCCTTTCCCCAAGAATTGGAAGTGGCAGGTGCATTTGGGAAAGCGCTAACAGGATCTAAGCAGGGTCACGTGAAGCATTCACGGCAGGAGACCATGGAATCACTAGCCTCTTGACAGGTGTCCTTATTTGACAGAGGAGAAATCTGAGGCCTCCCCCAGACTCATCAGTTCTCAGTCACAGAAGTACTAGGAGCATGGTCCCTGCCACCACGGGTCAGAATTCCTACTGCCTTGACTACCAGAAGGGTATATGCTTGTATGCCTCAGAGAAAAAAAAGCCAACTCCTCTTCCTGGAGTGCCAGAAGGATTCAGGTTTGATGGGAAGAGCCATGAGCAAGGTGAACAGAGCATCATATCTGTGAGTGCATCCTAGTGAGCTGAAGTGGAAAACATCTCCATGCTTTCAGGCCATTTCCTTTAAAAAGGGTGTTCCCAGTTCTAATGCCGGGGAGTTTTGAGACCAACTTGCAGAATTTCATAATTGGTGCTTTATGGTTAAAAGATGTTTTAACTACAGACTTACGGTCTAGAGTGGAGGGTGGACAAAGACATTCATGGGACTTTGCACAAGGGGAGTGGAAGAAAAGTTGAGGCTAGGAATAGCCCTTGACCTAGTCCCTCAGTCAGAGTCCAGTAGGACTTTTCCTACACATATAATATCGACCTTGTTGGAGGGATTCCAGAATTCTGCTAATGTTTTCACCACAAAGAATGGGTTCTACTGTTCCTGATAAATATTTCTGTCTCCTCATTGGGTTTTTTGTTTTGTTTTATTTTTCGACAGGGTCTTGGCTTCAAACTCACTATGTAGCTGAAGTTTGCCTGGAACCCCTTAGCTTCACCTCCCAAGTGATGGGATGACAGGCATATGCCACCGTGCCCAGCTTTCTCCCAGGCTTTTTTTTAACGAAGTCATCACCAACCACTTTCCCCAGAATCCTCAGTCCCATCAGGGGGACAGCATACACCCTAACTGCCTTCTTCCTTCCTCCAGTACAAGCCCCCCATCTACCACTTCTACAGCCACATCGTGTCCAACGACAGCACGGTGATTGTGAAGAACCAGCCTGTCAACTACTCCTTCTCCTGCACCTACCACTCTACCTACCTGGTGAACCAGGCTGCTTTTGACCAGAGGTAAGCCGTTCTGGGGGTGGAGGGCTGGCCACCATGAGGATGCTACAGTCCCTGTCAATCAGGCATGTTTCAGTCCTTATGCAAAATTCTCTCCCCTTTTCAGAGTGGCCACTGTTCATGTCAAGAATGGGAGCATGGGCACATTTGAAAGCCAGTTGTCCCTCAACTTCTACACTGTAAGTCCAGGTTGCCTTTCCTCAGGGCACTTACGTCCACGGGAGTCACTCTCTCCCGGCCTCTGGGCAGAGCCCCACTCCAGAACTCCAACGGTGGCATACTGCCTTAAGTTGGCTTTAAAGATGCAGTGCAACAGGAGGTTGGTTCACTTCACAGGCCAATGGAAGAGCTAAATGGCACAGGCGTGGCTGACCTTCCCATTTCACCAATGCAAAAATTAAGGCACCCATGTCTGACTCCTAATCAAGATTAGTTTCTACTACATTACTCTCCAGAGATTTATTTGCCATTAGGATCTCAAAACCATTAGTCAAGAGCATTGCGCTCCCTGACTAGACCGGAGCTAAAGACAAGGCTTAGGGCTAGCCTCTACTTTTTAGTTCTTTCATACCGTAAGATTTCCCCACTGTTCTAATTGGATCTGCTGCCTGTGTTGACATGGAAAGTTAAAGGCACACTTTGGTCTCTCTCAAAATTAAGTGCTGCAGAGAAACCAAATACGCACTGGCCATGAGCCCAGCAGCTCTCCCGATAGAAAGGGCATTTTGTTTTTAAGCTGTAGCTTCCAGTAAGGACACAGGCACACAGGGGGCACACTGGCCCAGCTGGCTAGAGGAAGAGGCAGGCAGAAACACAAACCTTTGTGAGGAGCGTTGGAAGTGTCCTCAGAGGGCAGCACATCTGACCCATTTCATTTTGCAAGAGAAAACAGCATCTCATCTGAAACCTCACTAACACTGAATGCTTCACCTATTGCCTGGAAGCCATTATCCCCCGGAATTCATCAGTGAGTGCTGGAGAATCCTAAAACAACCTAGTCCATCTTGCAGATAAGGAAGCCCAAAAGAAGGAAGGCATTTGCCCAAGACCACACAGGGGCCTCGGAGAAGCCTCTGGTGAGAACAGAGATTCCCCAACTGAGGTACTGCCTGTAAAGGCACAAAGTACAGTGTCATAGCCCTTCATCCACAAAGCCCATGTCTAATGTGGGATTCAAATGTTTTACTCTTTTTAAAAATTATTGTTAAAGAAGGATCTCTAAGATGCATTTGCTTCAAGTTTCCTTAAAATCCAGACTAGCCCCGGCTTCATATCACTAGTGGCTGAACCAGAGATAAATGTCCACAGCCACTTGACCTGTGTCCAGAGCTCAATGCACCGTGGGTCACCAGGGGTGATCAAATGAGGCTGACAGAGCTTCCTGCAGAGGGACTACAGTCTTTCATAGGAAGGCCCCGTCTAGAAGCTAGCTATGAATGTTTGATCCTATGAATGTTTCCAATAGTTGGTGATAGAGACCAGGGTTTTTAAAACTCATCTCTCACCATCAACCACATAGGGTTGAGTTTCAGACGTAAACATAACCTCAGAAGTAGAAGGAACATATTCCTTCAGTCAATCAATCAGCCTTCACCAGCAGGCCATCTGCAGAAACAGAGGGACAAATTCCTTCCTGAATTGTCTAGAAATGAAGCCAAGGTGTCCCCAAACCCTGTCAAAGCTGCTCCGGGACAAACAAACTCCAGCACAGAGCAGTTTCCGCTGCCCAGATGCCTTTGTTTATATTCCTCATTGGGCTCAGTTTCCTACGCCTAGCCCATGGATTTTTTTTTTCCACTTTGAGGGCATTTTTGAGCATTTCTAAAGCAACAACTGCCCCCTTGCATATATTTCCATCAAATTACCAGAAACAGAACCATGCCCTACATAGCACAATAGAACCAACACACTGCTAATTGCTTAGGATTCTGGGAAGTTCAGAGCCGGGGCCCCCAAATACACTCCTCCTACTCTGCATGTGTCCTCTCTCCTTTCTCTCCAGCCCTTCCCACTCACTTTGGCCAAGAACCCATAGTTGATATTCCCAGGGGAAAGTTATGACTCCCATTTTGAAGACAAAGGAAGGTTGTGGATTTACAGATATAGCCTGGGACTATGGATTAAAAAAAATGGGCCGTGCCCCAAGGCCTGGTTTTACTATTTACTAGTTAAATGACTCTGGGAAAGTTAGGGAGCCTCCCTGCGGCTCTACAGCCATAAAACAAGAACTTAGTGACATGTATTTCTTAGATATTAGGAAACTGGGTCGTGACATCATCTTTAAGTACTCAGCATGGTGGGTGAACTTGGTAAGTACCCAAGAAGACAGCTGTTCTCCTTGAGTGTAGACTCAGGCCCCATTTAACATGGATGCTCTGAATGTTCTTAGAACTGTTGCGTTTATAAAGATCAATATCAATGTCAGTGTGAGACTAGGTTAACTTCTTAAAATCAAAACAGTACTGGCCTGCTTAGTGGTACTACAAAAAGAAAGATTAAAGATCCTTCCCGAATCAGAACAAACCGCAGAGACCACCCTGGACTTCCCACGTGAAGTCCGCAGAGCTTCCACTGCTGAAGGCGGGCCACTCCACCTCTTCCAGTGACACAGGTGAGCGGGGCCTCTTGTTTCAGGTTATCATGTGGAACCTGACCCCTGAACCCTTGTTTGTGTTGGTTCTGACTGCTAAAATGATTCTATGGGATTATGTTGGTCACAGCTCTCCACAAGAGCCCCCATCTTTTCTAAACTAAACATCTTCTCATTGGTTTCTCTGACATCCTAATGCTTTCCCCTGAGCACAAGCCAGCTGTCCAGTGCCTGTCACAAAATGGGACCCAGAATTGAAATGTTCTACTCTAGTCCTCTGTGGAGCCAATAAGAGGCCTAGGGGGCCACAGGTGACCATCTAAGTTCTGGAAAACTCTAGGAATATGCCCTGAAGTACTTGCTTCAGGTTAGTTTTCTTTATTAGGTTTTTTTTTTAAATTTTTGGTTTTTTCGAGACAGAGTTTCGCTGTGTAGCTTTGCACCTTTCCTGGAACTCACTCTGTAGCCCAGGCTGGCCTCGAACTCACAGAGATCCACCTGCCTCTGCCTCCCGAGTGCTGGGATTAAAGGCGTGCGCCACACCACCACCGCTCAGCTGGTCGGAAGTCTTAAATACAGGCTTACAGCACATTGGGAGAACCCCAGAGGGCAGAAGTTTGCTATCGATGTTTTACAATCTTGCATCTAAGCTGTTAATACCCATTATGCAGGATACACAGACAAGGAACTTCCCTTAAGCATTCAGGAGGTTGAAACATAAAACATAAAAAAGTTTTCTTTATTGTTATCTCACCTATGAACAAAAGCAACTACATTTCCCCATATGAACTGCTCATTGAGGCATGCCTATCCTTAGCTTGGGCAACTAGCTACTTGTGAGTCAACCTTCTGATCAAGAGAAGGAATGCTGGAACATGGTTTCTCAACAGACTCCTCTATCCTATAGGGTGGAGAAGGAGTCTTTGTGATCTTTCTGCTTTTAGGGGTGTCAAGATAAACTTCGCTGGCATAGAATAGCTTACCGAGGTAAAGCTGTCAGAGGCAGGCCTCTGATTTTCATGTTAAAAAGAAAGTAGGGGACACCAGGCATGGTGGCTCCTATTTGTCATGCAGCACAAGGAGCAGAAGCAGGATTTCTGGGAGTTTGAAGCCAGTCTGGTTTACATAGTGAGGTTCAGGCTAGTCAGAGCTGTATAGAAAGACCCAGAAAGGAAGGAGGGAAGAAGACGGGAGGGAAAATCATACTAAGTGTAGTTATCAGAAATGAAGAGTGCAGCTTCTGGTCTTCACTCTGATGGAGAACTGGACAATTGTTCCATCTGTAGAGACCCCACACTCTACCAGCTGATCTCCAGAAGAAAGGCTTCACAGAAGCATCTCTGGAGACTTGAGGACTAAATTGCCATCGTCAAATTAGTTTCCATGTTTGGAAATGTCCCCTGAAATCTCATACATTTTAGGCAATACCAAAAATACTTCAAAAACTACTGAACAGGTGTCACTTTAGCCGCATGCTACGCAAATAGATCACTTATGCCAGGGACTGTTATTGCTTAATTGTGGCAACCAATAACGTGGTGCAGAGGCCTAACATGGAAAGAAGGGAGCCAGCGTCTAGGTGACTTATCGTGGGAGCCTCGGCTGGACCTGCTTCAGCAGAATAATGGAAGTCATCCTAAGGTGCCTACCGAGTTGCAAGTCTCTAAGCTTATAAATTCAGGTTTTGAAATACCCTAATCTAAACTTTATGTTTCTATTCTCCAGTGTCCCAGAGGCCAGTGTCTCTGTCCCCCATGGCTAACACCAGAGAGTAGTTCCAGGTTCTTTCTTAAGTGAATTGAACAGGAGACTCACAGAATGGAGAGCCTCCTTTGAGGAAGTCAGTCACGGCTGTAATTCCTAATAGCTCACTGTGCGTTATCTGCAGATGATCGAGTTTTTAAAAAATATTTTTATTTTATAATTAATTTAATTTTACATATCAGCCACGGATAGAACAAAGCTGGACCAGGGACCAGACCCTGACACTCCTGAGCCTGTCATGGTAGTGACGCTTTGGCACACTCAGGTTTCAAGGCCTGCTGTCCTCGATCCACCTCTTAGCATCGTAATCCCATCCCCTGCTCCTTTCTCTGCTTTCTCACCCTCCTCCAGACCTGGCCTCCTTGCTGACCTGTCAGCCACACCATTACCCCCAGGCAGACATTCTTTCTGGTGTGGCTACACAGCCCCCTTCCTCACTTCACTCAAGCCTTGTTCAGACACTTCCTCCTCAAAGAGGTCTCCCTGACTGCCCCTCCTCAAAAATGTAGCCTAGGGCTCCTTTGCTGAAGGCCTTGCTGTGCCGGCGTGAGGACCCGAGGTCACTCTCCAGAGCCTGCGTTTAAAGAAACAAGCTGAGCATAAGGGCATTTGTAATCCCAGCCCTGGGGACAGGGACAGGTGATCCCTGTCACTTACTTGCTGGCCAGCCAAGCCGACTTGGTGAATTCTGGGCCAGGATGAGACCCTGCGTTAAACTCAAGGTAGACAGTTGCCTGAAGAATGAAACCAGAGGTTGACCTCTAACCTCCACATACATGTGCATACGCATACATGCATACCTTTATACACTCATGTACCCATGCCCACACAAACATGCATATAAATACATACACACACACACACACACACACACACACACACACACACACACACTAAATGCGGCTTACCCTTCCTCATGTTTCTAGTCCCTTTTGCTATTTTTATGGCTTCCAATATTACATACTATATGCTAGTCCAATGTACTATGTAATTTACTTTTCTATTGTCTTTCTCTCCTGCTAGAAAATTCAATCATTTAGAGACAGATCTTGCTTCATTCACAAATATTATATCTCAATACAGAGTATCTTGACATAGAAACTATCCAAACATGTAGAACAACACCTAAATACATTGCAGGCAATCAATAGTGTATGCCTGTTGATAATCACACTGGTAATCAAGTCACAAACTTTAGAACTTAGGCAAGCGTTTGCTCAGACAGAGTGCAGGGAATCAGGGATCATGAGGGGCTATGTATTTGGTTGCTCTTGGCCTTGAGTGATTTGTGAAACCATTGCTTGGTTATTTTTCTATCAGTCACTTTTATTGGCATCACTGAGACAATGTGTGTCAAACCATGACCAGCAATGTCCTTACCTCTTCTAAGATGACATCCGCATCCTCAGAGGTAGTTTCTCTGGCTCTGGTGTTTTCTCGATGGTCTCATGTGCTTGTTCCTTGATTGGTTAGTTCCATCTATATCCTATCCCCAAAGTTTCTGCTTCCGCCAGAACTGACTGTTCATTCTGAGAGGTCACAATGCCTAGTGTCCCCATTTTCTTCCTAAGAATGCCAAGTTTTCCACCAAGAAAGAAGCTCCTTTCATTCTGGAAACATCTGAAATTGGTTCAGACCTGTTCGCAGGAGTAGAAGCCAAAGGGCTAAGCACTCGGTAAGTTCCTTACCTCTGTGTGTCTTATTAAGTACAAAGGGGAAAAAGACCAGCCAACAGATTCCAGCCTTCAGATGTTTGCGTGCTTCAGACTGCTTCAGAGTGGCATCTCCTTGTTTTATTTCCAGGTTTAAAGTAGTCCTGAATAGCTGTTGGGCCACCCCCTCGGCGGACTTCATGTACCCCTTGCAGTGGCAGCTGATCAGTAAGGGGTAGGTGCTACTCTCTGGAGTCAGTGCAGAGCAGTGGTCCAGTGTACCATGGTCTCTTCCACTGTAGCTTAGAATAGCTTGGGAGGAAACCTTTTGTTCATACCAGATCCTTTGGGTGGAACTCCAGTTTTCAAGAGCCCTTAGTGGTATTATATATATAATCAGCTATTTTCCTGTACACATGAGCACAACTGCAACAGCACACCCCCCTCAAAGTGTGATTCCATGTGGGGCAAGGGACTTGTTCAGGGTAAGATGGAGAGCTCCCCACGGCTGCCACCATCCAACCAGAGTGAGCTGTCACTGAGAGGCAGGTGCCACAGCCTACGCCAAGAGATGTGGTGCCAAGACATCTAGGCTTGCCCATTATTTGCCTTCCTTCCCCCACCACAGAGCTCCCCTTACATTTCTTTCCACTGGCCGATATGGGGCCAGAGCACCCTGGCTACAGAGAGCTATTTTAAGGCTCTGTGTCTTGAGTTCAGGCAAGGATCTCAGGTTTATTGACCAAACAATCCTGTTAGAGCCTCATTTCATAAGTTGGAAAATTCTCACAGCCCATCACTGCCAAGGCCACAACAAACAGAAATAACTCTGACCCTTGGCCCAGATAGGAAGGCACAACCTTTGTTTCTCGCTCATGACTCCTGAGAGAGAATTCTGGGATAATATTTTTTAGTTCCTGCTTCTGTCTCAGCAAACATACATTTAGATATTTCTTTCCATCATCTAGATAATATATGGAAAATTACTATGTTTTCTACAAAGGTTACTATATATTATATGTATAATTGATTGAACATAAATTTCAGGCAAAACCTAACAATGCACATAGGGATAAGCAGTGGTGTGACTTGAATGTGGTGTCTACGGCAACATTGGAATACTCTACTCCCATCCATCATGTTGGTCCTTACCTTGTGTTACCCTGGGGTCTTCCAGAGGCTAGTCCTAAAGAGGGCTTGAGAGTTCACTTCTTTAGGACAGGGGTTCAACTTACCAGATGTGTGGGTTCTTCTCATAAGTCACCCTCTATTTTAGGATGGAGACAATCTCATCCACCCCTCTAGCCCTTCAATTATACCTCACACTCAGGAATCAGAGTTCTTTGAAAAGACAAATAGCTGTGCACAGAACACTGTGTGAAATTTTGCCTTAGAGCCTTTTTGGAGTCCTCTGGTGTGATATTTCGCTCTCCCTTCCCCCATGTATACCAGCTGCCCCACCGATGAAACAGTCCTCGTGCATGAGAACGGCAAGGACCACAGGGCAACTTTTCAATTCAATGCCTTCCGGTTCCAGAACATCCCCAAACTCTCCAAGGTTTGGTTACACTGTGAGACATTCATCTGTGACAGTGAGAAGCTTTCCTGCCCAGTGGTGAGGATCCTGGCTCTGGAAGGAAGATAGTACCCCAAAGGGCTGGTATTGGAGGAGCTGAATTTGATCTGGGAGATGTGGGCCCTGGGTGCAGAGGCAGAAGGTCTGGGCCTGTCTACCTTGCTACCAAAACTTACCAACTTGGTTTGTGTTGTTTGCCCACAGAGCCTGGTCTCATCATCTTTGAATAGAGGCCATCAATTCTGATGGCTGTTCCCTTTTCAGAGAACAATGTAAGATAAAAATGAACACAGTAACAGGCATGAAAATGCTTTGAAAAGGTTAAAAGTGTCAAAAGATCCAAGATCTAGACAGAACTCTAAAGGCAGGTGATTGTAATCTGGATTGGACCATCTTCAGAGAAACGCTGAAAGTCTAGGTCAGGATGGATTGCACAGTGAGGGAAAGGACCAACGCAGTTCTGGGCCGTGCAGAGCTGTAGAACACCTCCTTGGGAACCTAAAAGTACTGAGCTCCAAACTGTCCCCTGTCCTCCATAGACTGGAGGCCTCAGAGCTTCTGAAGAGGCTGCCAGCCCACAGGGCCTGGAGGAATCAGCAGAAAGGAGGTTGAATCTCTCCTTCCATCAAGTCACGTGGTTAGAAAGCATAGAGAAGAAAAGAAAAAAGAACCAGAGGGTGCAGGGCTGGGGTGGAGGAGAACCAGTTAGTACTTGATCATGGTACGCCCAAAGGATGGGCGTCGGAGTTGCAGTTTTTAAACAAAGAAAATAGAGCAGAACACATTTTGCAAGTGTCCTCTTCTCCTATCACTGAGTTAAGAGGAAAGTAAAAGCCTTCCTCCCTATGGAAAGGCACGGTGCCCATCCTCTGCTGGAACGGTAATCAACTACTACAGCAGGGTTTTCCCACCCTGAAGAGCCAGTGAACTCTAGGCGCACGTGTGCGTGTGTGTGCGTGTGCGTGTGCGTGCGTGTGCGTGCGTGTGCGTGTGCATGTGCGTGCGTGTGTGTGTATGTGTGTGCACACTTTATGTATGTAGTGACTGGGGACTTGGACTCCACGAAGTTTCATTTTGTTTTTTTGTTTGTTTCTTGTTTCCTTTGTTCATTTCTCCTCCCGGTCTTCAGAACTGTGACAAACGGAAGCGTATGCTACGTGACCAGACAGGGGGTGTCCTGGTTGTGGAGCTGTCCTTGCGGAGTAAGCTGATTGCCCGATAGTCATGTGCATTCTGGGCTGTGTCCACAGGCATGACAGGTTTGAGCGTTTTGATCGAATTGTCAAACCAGGCGTGCCTGTGGACACAGCACTCACCTGCTCCTCGAGTAGCGGGGGTCTGATCATGTGGGCCCAAGGAGGTGAGAGGTTTGTTGACTACCTTGAACGTCTTATTGGGGCCCAAATCCAAATGTCCCTAAGGAATTAAGAAGTGCAGAGCTGAGCTTCCAAACTGGTCATGCAGTGAGCAATAGTAACGGAAAGGAGCGTGTCCTGGGAATGTCAGCCAGCCTTCACTGCCCAAACCTGGCCTGGACACTAAATTCCAGAAATGAGCAAGACTCATAGAGACCCTGTCTCAGGAGTTTACCCTCTAGCCAGGAGACAGACAGTCCACACTGAGGGACAGGGAATGTTGAGGGGTAGGGGATGCATAGGGTGATGCGGGAGTGTGTGGCCACAGGAACTGACCCAGTACAGGCCTTATAGACTGTTGGAAAATGTCAGTGTGACCTGGAGAATGCTGTGAGCAGAGATTGAGCCAGACTTTGGTAGTGTTGTTTGTTTTTGCTCTTTTTTGGGGGCCCACCACCCAGCTTGCAAATAAATCACACACAGAGGCTTATTCTTACATATGAATGCCCGGCCTTAGCTTTGCTTCTTTCTCAACAGCTTTCTTTGTTTTTTTTGTTTTTTTTGTTTTTTTTCCGAGACAGGGTTTCTCTGTGTAGCTTTGCGCCTTTTCCTGGAACTCACTTGGTAGCCCAGGCTGGCCTCGAACTCACAGAGATCCACCTGGCTCTGCCTCCCGAGTGCTGGGATTAAAGGCGTGCGCCACCACCGCCCGGCTCAACAGCTTTCTTTAAATTATCCCACCTATCTTTTGCCTCTGGCTTTTCCCTCTGTAAATTTTACTCTTACTCCATGGCTTGCTGGTTGTGTAGCTGGGTGGCTGGTCCCTAGAGCCCTCCTCCTTCTCTAGCTGCTCAATCCCTCCTCCCAGATTTCTCCCTCTATTTATTCTCTCTGCCCGCCAGCCCCGCCTATCCTCTCTCCTGCCTTGCTATTGGCCAGTTCTTTATTAGACCATCAGGTGTTTTAGACAGGCACAGTAACACAGCTTCACAGAATTAAATGCAACATAAACAAAAGTAACACACCTTAAAATAATATTTTACTGCACTTTCGAGTTGTACCTCAAAGCATGATTGCCAAACCACAGACCAGGGCAAAGTCTCCATGCTTCCTCTTGGTTTTATGGGGTCTACAAACTAAAACAGGTTTTCTACACTTTCACGTGGTTCCAAATATTAAAAAGGAAAACACGGTGCATAAAAATTCAATGAAATTAAATCTCAGTGTCTACAAAGCTTTATTAGAACACGGATGGCATTATCTACAGGAATATTCACACTACAAGGACAATGCAATAAGGCCATGCTTGGTGTGGTTGTACACACCTGTAACCTCAGTACTCAAGAGGCTGAGGCAGGAGGATAGTGAATCTGTGGGCCATCTAGGATATATAGTAAGTCTCTGCCCAAAAGTGTAAAGAAAAAAAAAATACTTCATGGCCCCTGCAAAGCTAAAAGTAGTATCTTGTGTTTTCCAAAATATTTAGCAGCCCCTGCTTTAGATAGCCAAGGAGATGATGCTGTAAGACAAGTCTTTGTAAACCTCAGTATATGCTTCCTCTCAAAGGCTCATGATTTAGTGGAGGTCAGACATGGTCAGCTCTGGGGCTCAGAAGCAGTCCTGGTACTTCATTCATGGCCTTCTTCAACCCGCATTCTCTCTCTTTGCTCACTCCAGGCAGGGGACTCTCCAGTCTCTGTGACTTCTCAGGTAAGAATAAGAGGCACCTACATGTCTTGGGGCAATGCTTTTGTGAAGTGGATGTTCTGTTAGAGGTGTTTACTTTACCCCAGCAAAATCTGTCGTTGAAAATATACATCTTGAAGTACACCTGAGCAGGGCAGAGGGGCACAGAGGCAAAGAGTCTCACTCCAACCAGCCTGTGACCCGAGAGAGGGCCTGTTTCAAATGGACGAAGAGCCATCAGATCCCACAGCACCCTCTGAACAAAGCCATCACTCGGTGGCTTTCCTAAGGTTCCTGCGTTTGCAGAACATAGTTTTTGATCAGATCATCTGCTCATTAGCAAATATTTGAGGCCCTGCTATGACTCAGCTGTTCATTAATGGAGTGACTTGGCTAAGAGAGAGCCTCAGCCCTCCCCTATCAGCTTTGCTGTGTGAACCGGGCTTTGATTGTCCCTAACATACACGGTGTGCTATGAATTATAGGTCAGCACTAAACAATACAGTGGACAAGGCAAGGTCATGGGGTGAGGGCCGGGGGAACTGACGTAGCAACAGCCAGAGCCACTTAGAGGAACTTCCTCTTAGAGGAAGAGCCATTCCAGCTGCAACCAGGGTCTGGCTGGAAAGATGACAGGGACATAAGAATGAGGGAGACGGGCTGGGGCTCTGGCAGTGGTTTGCAGACTCACAGACGGAAACCACTGCGTCATTAGAAGAAAATCATGTAAATCGATTTCAATGCCCACTTCTCATTTTCAAGGGAAATGCTCCAGAGAGCATCCTACAGTGAAAGGTGTATGCCGTCACTGTGCCGTCCAAGTTCAAATGTCTCTTTGCCAAAGGTCCACAATCTAGGCTTATGTATCAGGACCTCAGTATTGATAGAAGTGGACAGTGCGAGCCCCAGGGAATGAACAGAAATGACTGTAAAGAGTTTGGAAGCTTTCAGCAGCCTTATTGCATTAACTCTGGTTGATCAAGCAGTTGACCTTATGCAGCTGTTTCTCAGTGTGTCTCTGCCCCTCCGCTCCACAGATGTTCTTTATCACCTCATCCTGATGTTGGGGATCTGCGCTGTGTTATAAGAGAGAGCTGGGCAGCTACAGCAACTCTCTTCAAGGCCACCCTGAACTATGACACACTGCCAAAAAGAACAAATAGAAGACTTCGCTGCTGGGGAGCAGAGAATAGCGCTTTGCCAAATATGTGTTCCCCATGATTATTTTGTGTGTGAATTTGGTGATCCACTGCCGTTGGAGCCACACTTCCCCTTATTCCTTCCTCTGGTCATAAGGTCCTGCCAATGCCCCTCCATGAAGGTGGGGAGGAGTCTTTTCTCCTCTACTCAAATTAGGGTAGCATTTAAAAGTTACTTTCATCATAAAAGATTCACACATACATCATATACAGCTTGGCATTTGGAGGCAAAGACAGATCATAACCACAAAAAAATCAATGCCAAATACAGAATCCACAGGGATAGCCAACTTTACCCAGCAGGCACTATCATTGAGACAGTATGATTCTAAGGACCAGAATTGAGCTCCTAGGCAGGAGATTCCAATCTTCAAGTGACAATAAAGTTAAATAAAACATATTTGTTCAACCTTTTGTAATAGACAAGAAGTGGGTTCCTAAGAGCCCCTAGCACTAATTTTTTTTATTATAGGGTTTCTTAACTAGATTTAAACATTAGGTAGGTATTATGATGCCTTATCCTTATAACTGATTATATTTCTCTGTAATCAAAAGTAAATAGGAAATAGACTATGAAAGGAGTAAAAATTCATCCTCATTTCACATAATAATGTGGCATTGCCTACATGAAATGCATTTGCACGACAATGGAAAGACGGTACCTGGGTCCAGGTTCTCTGAGATTCGAGAGCCAATCCTCCCGCGGAGCTCGTGATGCTCCGTGGACTCATGAGCCTCACTTGCTTCCCGTCTGGGATGGCCTAATGCATCCCACCTTCCCTGAAAACACTCAAACCTGTGTCTGCTTCCAGCTTGTTCACTTAGGATTGTGAGAACTGAACCAATAGAACGTCAGAAACACAATGCAAATATAGCCAATGACATCACATGAGAGCACACTCTCAAAACTGGACACCCCTGTGGTCTAGAGCAAGACAAGGTCAGTGATTCACACTTGTCAACAAGGAACAAACTGAGCAAACCAAGCCTGCCGGAGCCTTAGCTGTGGGGTGACACGATAGGCCAAGTTCTACATTTTTTTCTTTGTCAAGTACAAACATTTGAGTTCATGTGCCAGTTTGTCCTCTGTATTTAATGCCCTTGAGAGGTTTTGGGGTCTGTAGTTTGCTGATCTTTTTACAACCTGCATAAATGAACTTAGAAATTAAACCAGTTACCAAGTCTTGTTTGTTTAGCCATAGGCTGGGGTAAAATGGTTCCACGCAGTCTAAACCTAGTATCTAGCTGGTGCTCCAATCAGTTTAGATTCTCTTCCTAAAGTCAGAGTTAATTGTAATCCAGAAATATAAAAAACATACTTCATTGGTTCTAGTCAGAAACTGTTATATAGCACATATATAGCCAAGTTTATGTCATTGGCTGCCAAGATAAAACAATGTTTAGTTTTCTCACCATGATTTATGATCTTGTATCTCTACCTGGTGCTATGGACTAAATAAAATGCCTGGAATAGATAACCTATGACTGCAGTTTACATGTTCATGTATTATGATAGAAGCCAATCCCACAACCTTTCCAAGGACTTCTAGACTTCATAGAATCCAAATATTCCACAAACTTTTGATCTTTTGTACTTCAAACATTCCTGGAGTTTACAGACCAAGAGGCGAGGGGGTAAAGCCATCTTCATGACTAACATTAGAGAGTGGGAGGATCCCGTGGGCCATCCCTGCCTGTGAAACTCTAGTGTCTCTTAAATTGTTTGGCTTAGGGTTAACTGGTAACCCCTACACAGTGTTTGGTTACCCTTTCTGCCTTAGGACTTCTCTATGAGGGATTAAGAGAAAGGGCCTTCATTGTAATGTCTGCTGTAAATTCCAACTCATACTAAACACAAAACAAACATCCAGAGGGGAAAAATACACATTCCCTTAGGTATCATTAGTACACAACACACACACACACACACACACACACACACACACACACACACACACACATCACTAGATACAGAGTTGTGAAAATTGCTCTTATAAAAATTCCTAACTATGATATCTATATTCATTCCCTTTCTGTCTCCCTCCCTCCCTCTCTTCTCTCCCCATGTGTATACATACACACATATACCTAGTATATGCATGTATATGGGTGTGTGTATATGAATATAGGTATGCATGTGGGTGTCTGTGTTTGTATATGTATGTGTGTTTTGTGTGCATGTACAGGTCTGGATATCAAATGTTTATGTTATAATATTAAATGAAGACAGATTTAACAAAGTCTTTATTATCTGAATGTAATTAGGTAAGTAGATGGACTAGAAGCAAATGTACATCATTGATACAAAAACAAAGATGGAACAATAGACAATTACCTTATTCAACCCCATCTCTAGAACTGAATAGCATTTTCTAATGCCCTTTTACTATAACAATATTAGATTATTTGGTTACTTCATTTTTTTGTTTATAGCTCTGCTAGTCCCTAATGTTGCATTGTTGTGTGTTAAAATTGTCTCCTTCCAACTAAACTGTAAGATAAAGATGAAAGTTTCATATTCTCTTATACTCCCAGCATGGCAGCTAGCAGAGTGAAAACTTAACACATGGTCCTTGAGTTCATGAAATTCTCAGATGGATGGATGGATGAGTTGGGGAATGGGCAGGTGGATAGATATCAGATGGGTAGACAGATAGATAGTTTAGTAGGTGGATGGATGGATGGATGGATGGATGGATGGATGGATGGATGGATATATGGAAAGATGCATGGATGGATGAATGGATGGATGGACGGATGGACAGACAGATGGATGGACTGATGGATGTGTGGAAAGATGCGTGGATAGAAGGATGGATGGATGGATGGATGGATGGATGGATGGATGGATGGATGGATGGATGGTTGAACAGATGGGTGGGTGAATAGATGGATGGATGGCTGTAAAGGGCCTGGCCTATCAATCTAAGAACTACACAAGAGATTATGGTTTGTTTTCTTTCATGATGGAGCAAAGTGTTTAGGAACCCATGCTGCTCAACCAGGGAAGAAGGTAGGAAGCCTGAGAAGATGCACTCTGGTCCATTGTCTCCATTCTGGAGGAGAAGGGAGAAACTCCCTAGCGTAAATGCCTTCTGCCTCACCTCCTCCTAAGTAGCAGTCTAAAACATCAGCCCTTGATGCAGAGTGCTTTGGGGGGAGCAGAGCCTCTCGTCAGAACTCTACCCAGGAGAGGACGTCTCTGAAGGTCAGAGAAGTCAGCCATGCACCTCCAAAAAGAAACCAAGTTCAGCAGATGGGAACGCTGGAGAGGAGTAGGGAGGTGGGGGGGAGTGAAATGGGCGAAAACCAGGAAGGCTTTTCTTGGTTATGAAGAAAGGCAAGCATTTTTATAAATATGGGCATGGAAGCACCCCAATAAATTAAAAGGTAGTTTGCTTCCTAATACAGTACTCAAAAATATGGCCACAGAACACACCAGCAACAGAGAAAATCTAACTGCCCTCACTTCTTTATTCTTGGGAACTTTAACAGGAAAAGGGTCTCAAAAGCAGCATTTTATCCGGACATTCTCTGCACTACCTAGCAACCACGTGGGCTAGGGAGATACAAGGTGCCAAGAAAGAAGTGTCATAAGAAAGAGCAGGTCCGGAGACCCATTAAAATAATCCCCAAACAATTCAACCCAGAACTTAATTTTTTGTGAAAAGGGAAAATAATCACCACAGGACCAGACAGGCTCGTCTTCCTCGGCCGGATTTGTTAAAGTATACTCTGTGTGCATAAATCAGTGGAGAATTCCAGTTAGCATTCAAGTCTTTGTTTCCAGAGATGCTGCTGCTTGATGTGTAGGAAAAACAGGCAATAACAGGATATTTTCTGTTGCACTCACAGAGTTGAGAACCAGGCCATCTAGTTCGCAGTGAGTCTTCCTCTGTAACCGCCTGGCACGAGCTTCAGGGCCTGGGCGCTCATGTGGGATTGTTTCTGTCTGAGCTCATGCTGAGGGGGAGGGGGGACTCCTAGTTCCTTCTAAGCTGGTTAGCTGCCTTGCAAGAGAAAGGTCGGGTGCATTTTTGCCCAGGCTTTATCTTCCTCTTTCCCTCTTCTAGGAGGAAACAGATTTTAGGCAGATTCATGAGTCTCTGTGGCCGGCCATCACAGGAAATGAGTGCTCTCTGTCCACCTCTTCCAACTGCACACTGGGCAGCAGTCTGGGAGCAAAGTCTGAAGCAGGAAGGGCTGCCAGTCAGACAGTACCCCCTAGAGGGAGATCGACTCAATGCCCCAGAACTACACCTCTTCAGAGGGATGGATAATGGATGCATTTCCCCCAAAAGGATCCCGGGACACGGACATTCGTGGGGCTCTACAAACATCTTGAAAGAACATACCCACCTCACAAGATCTCTGGACCTTTAGTTTCTTCCTCCTCGGTAAACTCGGGGAGCGGGACAGTGAGGCCGTCTTTGCCTTTCAACCAGAAGGTCGTCTGTTCTCCCTTGCCCTGTGGGAAGCAAAAAGGGTCTGGTGAGCAGCTGACATGGATGGATGCCTGGCTGGGTCTGCCTCGATTGGTGAGAGAGCAGGAGCCACCTCTTTGAAAGAAATAACCTCTTTGTATATAAAATCCTGATGGCTACATGGATGGTCAGTCATGTTCTTCTGTGGAAAGGCCTGCAGAGAATAAACTCCATTGGCCCCCTCCCCAATCTTAAAAATATAGTCTGAATTCTTAGTGTGACTTGGGTGCCAAGGAAAACACCTCACATACGTGTGTACATAGAATCCTCATGCTCAGCATGATGACCATGCCGGTTTTCCTCATGCACAACCAAGTCCTTCCATCACCAATCAGGAGGGGACATCATCCCAAGAAGACGCTACAGAACTGCTAGCAACCCCACCCCCACCCCCCCCACCCCCCATCCCCCAACCCCCCCAACCCCCCCCCACCCCCGTCTACCTGCTGGAGGGATACAGTGC